TGTGTTTTGGTTCGTGAATCTCGTGAGTATTTTGACGTGTTCAACGCCATTGGTTGTGCGGAATACTGTTAAGTTCCCTTCAACGTATCCATAAGGACGGAACTTGCGATATTCGGATCTTGAACAAGTAACACAGTTGATTAAAAGTTGATTGTGGTCTCCTATTACATAATGATATTTTCCGGCTTCCACATAGTTCGCTTTCAGCCTCATTTTTCACTTGCACAGTAGTGCATATGTCTTTAGAGTGCTTTTCTCTCATTGTATGAAGTTGTTTTATAAATATGTATCCTTTTTCTACTGGTGGTGGTGTCCATGGACTATTGTGCGTTCCGTTGTGCTGGCTTATATGGACGCAAGGGTTTTGGAGCATATAGGGGCACCCAGTGAGTGGTATTTAGTACGCCATTTCGGTTCATGGTTCACTTCAGCAGTGTTGACAATTATAAGCCATGTGCAGGGAACAAGTTTGTTCCGACCACTGTAGTTTTATTGACCGAAAATGGGGGGGGGATAACGAGGATTTGGGAACAAGTTTTGTATGACTAGTTGTCATTCGCGTTATCGGCATCGGTGCTGCTATCAGTGACTACATGGTGCGCCAGCCAAATTGAACATTGGTTAGCACCCGCAGGTTTTAGCATAGGTGTCTAATTTTTCATCGTGTTTGATATCCTACATCTATCTTCCTCGTAAAATGAATCACACCAACAGGACGAGATGGCGAAAGCGCGAATTTACTGACCTGAAGGTCCGTGGTTCGAACCCGACCTCTGCACCTCGGCTGTTTCTGTCTAGACTTGGGCAACCTGTCAGTATCCTAGCTCTCGTACTTCCTTCAGTTAATATGGCATCTGGGCAAGGAAAGGGTGTTTCAGCTTAACGACAACCGAATCCTATTGAAACTTTCGCAATTTATGGCGTTCCTGAAGCCAGCACATGTGCGTTTTCAGGCACATTTTCGTTTTTGCCCTGTATACTGTGCTAATCGACTAGGTCGTTGAAGCAACGAAGTTAGTTAAGTCCGTTCTTTGGGATGCTGTCCTTGTTCCTTGAATGACACCTAAGTTTTTAGCCTAAGAAACAATCGTACGAATATAGTGATTCTGCAACACACCCTGAATGACTGCAGAGGTACCAGCGATCCGGGGGGAGTAGATGGCTGAGTCGAAGACTCGCGCCGGTTGGTTGGGTCTTATCATTAACTAGGTCACTCGTGACAAGCGTTTTCCTGTCGTCGTCCCTGTATCGAACTTTGCTTTAACGGATTAGTTCTTGTCTGTGAGTGTCAGCTGAACGAATGGGCCCTATATATATGGCGACAAATGCAGGCAAACAGATCAGACAAGTGCCCTATATATATAGCCACAAATCCAGGCAAACAGATCAGACAAGCGCCGACTGAGGGCTTCACCGCCATCTTTGACCAGTGCGAGTGGAAGGCCATCCAGACCAGGAGCTTGAGAGAATATTTGCAGTCATGAACCTCCGAGGTTTAAGGGGGTTCCAGATGAGTAGCAGCTGGTTACCACGATAACTGTTGTTCGGAGTGCTTGGCCAACGGTTTAAGGCGTTCCTCTTTATTCAAGATGGTCGTTCCATTATGTTCCTTAATGGTTCCGCTCACATCTGATTCCCGGGGACAGATCGCACCAATCAATGAATCGATTTTCGGACATTCCTGTCTTTCTGGTTCTCTTCCGTTTCCTTGGCTTTCCGTATCCACCAGACTTCAACTGCGTAGCCTGCACGCGATTTGAGGAAGTTGGTACAGCCAGCAATCAGTATTTTCTGAAGCGGTTATTCACCAGCGTGCGTATGTACTGAGTTCATTCTATGCAGATCACCTAATTCAGTCGCGCTAAGCCTGTTTAGTAGTGCATTTAGATTTCTCAAATTGGATACGGGGAAACGGTCCCTGTTGCAGAGTGACATTTCATTTGCCGATGTCTAATCTGATCTGATCCAGGTAGTTAATGGTCTTCCTGCATAATTTGCCGTGCTTTGTAGGCATCTAAATGAGGGAGCGTATTTGTCGATCATTTGTCACCCAATATCTCTATTGTGCAATCAGATTGGCATTCCTGTCTGGACTATAGCGATCTTATGGCCTTTGCTCCAGACTTTCTAGTATAGGGAATGGAATGCGCCCATTAAGCTTTGCCTCAGGTTTATGGATCTGTTATGTGGCCTCTGTTTCTTAGTTTGCGGTAGCTTTTCCCGAGCTGGAGTTTTCCATTACTGCCGTTATCGAATATGAATGTGAATGTAATACTTTGAAAAGAGGGAAACGCAAAAAGTCATTTCGTGTTTTACGTTCATTGAGTCAATAAGCATCAAGGTGACACAATGGTTGTGCGCGCTCATGAAGTTGTGCAACCTATGGAACAAGAATGTCATGAATTTGGATCTCAAGGGTCACTTGTATAGAGAAGGTCACGCTTCGACCCATCGTGAGAGGAGCTGCGACGACGTGATCCGAAAAAAACGGAGTTCTTTACGCACCAGTTCCTTTCATTGACGTTAGTTCTATCCAGCCGCATGAACATTGGTCATGTGCTGTATATNTATATATATATAATGTCGTGCCACTGCTCTCTTAGCTCACTTCTAACCCTGTGGTTAGCATCGACCGGCAATTTTGCATGTTAACACTCGGGATCATGCCATACCATTCCAGTGCGCACTGAAAAAATGATAAATAGCGAACTGTAAGTGAACATTGATCGAAATCCAAAAAAAAGTTTTGTAATATTGGAGTACGTCGCTTCACCTCATTGTTTTCTTTGGCTCGATAGCATAAAACAAGCTTTTTTTAGCGATCCGTGCTGAAACCACGTTGTGTTTGATTCACTAGCGTGTCTCAGTTTCACATACACAAGGTCACGGAACAGCTGAAGCAGCAATTGATGCGCTTGGCATCCTCCCCAACAACAAATCTGTTGAATGTGTCGCAGAAAGCACTGAGTTAGTTCCAGCCAACCGCAAAAAACGCTGGAGATAGTTAATCATAGTCGCTTTCCACGAAAAAACACTTCTGTCTGCGACACATTTCCATATTGCTGGAACGTATTCTTTAACCAGAAAGTAACAGAATCAGTGTTTGAAAGGAGCCCAGAAGTGGGTTGTGCTGCTCTTTTTCTACATATGTTTCGTTTCTATCTTTCAACCACCACAAATTTCAGGGCCCCGGAAATTCTTCTTCGGCAAGGGCACGGAAAAGCGGTTGACTGGTGGAGCCTGGGCACCCTAATGTATGATATGCTATCTGGCGCCGTGAGTTCCTGTATTCAATCTAAATCACTGTATGTTACAGGTTTTGTTTACGGATTTTCAGAATGTTCCACCCCCGTTCTCATCTAAGTGAGACTGCTACATATGTTGCAATCGTTTCATCGGAACCTCTAATTCGGGCCAAACAGTGAAAATGATTGTCCTCGTAGCTGCAAGAAATGCATCTGTCTATGAAGTATGTCCTACAGCACAGTCAGCGGAAGTGAAACGTTCCACCATAGGATTCTGCGATAGGCGGCCTGCTAAGTCGTCGAGACTACTGCCATCATTTGTTGTTCGCTGCATTATTGCCTCTGTGACATCAGCGTCTCAATATTGAATTAATGCGCGAGGGTTTCGCCATCAATAAGCCATGGCGATCAACCGAGGCCGGAGTGTTTCACTTGTGTTTTGAGTGGTTTTTGGGGTACTAAGCCAAATGGCTTTTCTTCTTCAATGGCGATGCGTACAGTTCATGTCAGTATCACTTAATAGTCAAATGACAAAGTTATCAGATAGCCACTCATTGAAGTTCTTCACAGACATGAGGATTTTCTGTTCATTGTTCTCGGCTCCCTGGTTGTTCATGCGACCGTTTGAAATGTTTAGGACCACGCGTTCGTCCATCCGGATTACCCAGTTAATTCTACACTGCTAAAACAGAGACAGGCTGTTCCACTGCTGGTATACGCAGTAACATAGGTTGTGCATCCTTGTGGTGAAGTAAACGCATTTCTGATAGCATCCATTTCACAGAAGCCTCTGCAAACTATAACGCCAACCGACGTTTGCTCCTTTATTACGACCCTTGGGGCGTATAAAATTAAGGTCATCCGTTACGTGCTTTCGTTTCAAACCAGGTTACAGCACATTTTCACGTCCTTCCTCCAGCACGTAAACCCCTGTCTTGATAAGACAGCCGACCGACACGATATAAAACTGCATTGTAGAAATTGACTACTTTATCACTCGATCCTCGAACTGAGACATACGTGTTTCCTGGCTAGCTTCGCTGTCACTGTGAAGATTCGAAGGCTGTGCCTGTCATTGATGATAAGTTGAGAACCGCCCAGGTTTTAGTGAACGCTACTCGCCAAAGGCAACACGGGACTTCACAACCCAGAAAAGCACTCAAGGTTCGTTTATTCGGTTCATCGGCAAGGCTGTTGAGCTATTATTCTTAGAGGACAACTGAATTTAGTTTCCGCACTTGACATTCCGGGTAGCTTAATTTCACTTTGAATGAAAAGTCAAGTTGGGAGCGTTCACTCAACGAGTTAAATACAAAACACGACTGTATATAGATTCGACTCCCTGCGAAATCGTGGAAATTGCGTCCATGTAGTCTTGGTTAACGTACTGATTATTCGGTACTTGTGACGTATGTTTCAAACTCCACATAATCAGGCGTTAATTGTTTGCAAAGTTAATCGGTAATATACAACTAAACCTACTAATGGGGTTCACAGATTTATCAACCCTGGCATTGTTTGCTTCAACCAGTCTAACACGCTTTTTGGTTGCCAAATCAATAGAGACTGGTGTCCGCTTCTGACACAGCTCGAGTCCACGCTTCGAAATTTGGTCAACAGTGAGGTCTACAGTACCGCAGTGCGTACCGCCTCAATTTGATCGCTGGATGCTTGGGATTTTCACTGCGTCGTGCCCTGACCGAGCTTATTGATATATACTGAAATCCTGATGCGTTTATCGTCACACAGGGACATTCGCAACATAGTTGAGGTACTCATACCTTATTGAACTCGTTCACACATCCTTCATCACCTGTGTTCAGTATTGAACTTGCCGCGGAACCACTTGGTATCAGGCTACGAAACTTTTAAACGCGTTCACACTTGGTGTTATTTTACCACCGCAAACAGGCTTTTTAGGTATTCATTTTACCCATGCCTTCTGTTGAGTTGATAACACTACGGAATTATTAATTTACTCCGTGATAGTTGTGTGTGACCTGGTTTAGGTTTCTCAAATGGGGTTCATATTTATTCTCCGCTGAACACAACATAGCCTACGAATAACAAAAGACGGTTTGGTACTGAACAGTGCATAGTTTATCAGGCGTGCGTTGTGACTGGTGGGTGGCCTCGGGAGCCGATCACATGTTCAGCATCGGACTGTACACGAATGCCCTGTAGTCACAACGCATTTGTTATTCCCAAGTCTGTATCCGGTATGAACGATAATGATGCCACTACCATTCATTATACATCGTATCCGCTTATATCCGTTTGGTTTTAGCCTCCGTTTGCCGGTGAAGATCGAAAACAAACAGTTGATCTGGTAAGTACTTATGCTGTGAGTATCACACTTACCATCACGGTGTTAGTTTTCATCAGGTTTTTAAACTGTCGCACAGGTTGGCGTCGAATCATATCCTTATTTCTCCAACCCATGGATGCGTTGTATTCCCATTCCATGTTGTTTCTGTAGTCCCCATTAACCTTTGCGTCCGTTTTTTTCAGATCCTCAGGGGTGAATATCGTTTGGAACCTTTCCTCAGTCGTGAAGCATGCTCTCTCCTCTCGAAGGCAAGTTCATCAGTAGCGTGGTTTCCGTAGACTATCCTGATTTCTGCATGACAGTTGTTTATTCTCGTCAGATTTGTCATGTTTTCAAGTGCCAACAAAAGTTACTGAGTGCTAGCAATCCGAAGTTGTCAGTCTCATCTGGTACCCCAATTTGACACTTATTGGATTGCTGTCTCCGGAAAAAATTTCTGTCCAGCCGAGTTACAATACCTACTTAGTCTCATTCCAACTATTTTGTTGTATGTTTCCATTATACTCTGCGGTGGGAGTGGGGCAGACATTCGCTGAGTGTTTCCAACTGGATTACCATTTATCTTCGCAGGAAGTGCGCACGAACCCCAGGGATGGGGCAATGTGTGCAACACTTTAACACCCGTACTGCTTCATGGTTCTATCCAGCGACAAAATAACCGAGCTACCTGTTGTGAAACATGAGTGGTAGGTAACTGCCTACTGACTCCGTACTAGTTGCTTTCGTCACGGCTTGGAGTGGTAGACAGCTTATGTCAATTGGATAACTTTGGCCGTCGACGATTTCTCTACAATTTGGCTGACATTGCTGAACAACCCTGATTCGTTCGGCTTCGGATTTCCTGATTAGCATGGAAATAGATCGCCGACCGCTCCACAGTACAACGATGGCATAGTTGCTCTTGTCCGACTACGGACGGTCTCATGTACCTGTACTATCTCATGCTCTGATGCTGAGGAATTCTTGTGTTGCATATTCCCATTTAAGCTTATCTATCCAAAGCACGTTCTACAGTAGTTATGGGTCTCCTCCCCACTTATGAACAGTAGGGTTCTCACACTGAGTGACTGGGGTCGCTTTCAGCTCGTCGTTCACCGAAGTTTGCACCGAAGTCCACAACTGACAGAAGCCAAAAATTCAGAACAGTGAACTGGAAATGAGTGCAGGACTGTCCTACGGAGCAGAAGAAGAAAGCGTTTATTTTGGTCAATACTGTATCCAAGTCTTTTCAAAACAGCACCTTTATGCTTTTTTGAGGAACTCTAACATATTAACTTTCCACATGCTGTATCGGTTCACTCCGCCCGACCCCTGCAACCTTGCAGTATCCCAGCCCTCGTGCTCCCTTTGGGTGGCATGGCAGCTAGGCACCGAAAGGGTACTACAACTGAGCGATCATCATTATTACTTCACCCTGGTAGGATTGGGCATCACTTTGCTAGCGCCGCATGATGAGACTGTGAGCTACGTTTATGATAACCATCACCAAAGTCTCGCCCAGATCACCCTGGTAGGATTGGGCTTCACTTTGCTAGCGCCGCATGATGAGACTGTGAGCTACGTTTATGATAACCATCACCAAAGTCTCGCCCAGAGTAACCCGTGGGTATCCAGGACAATGCGGTAAAACTTTGCGTACAGTTTGACCGGCAAATTTGATCGGTCGTTCATATGTAACACCCTGTCGGTGCATAGGTGCCATGCCATCCAAAGCAGGCTAAATTAGTGAACCTGCGCCAATGGGGAATGGTTTTTCGAAAGCGAAGAAACTTGAATGCATCTCTATGGCTCTGGGTAGTTTATTTTCTTGGGAGGAGATTAAATAGGCAGGGATTATGCGTCACAAAAATTCGTCTGTGATCAAGGATCCTTTTTTGAACGAGTACTGTAGTGTTACCACGCTCAGCCGACATCTCCTTAGTTCAATTTTTGGTGCGACCGACAATATACACCACCGATGAACCTCAGTGAGCGGAATTCTTATCAGAAGGGGTCTTTTTGTAGGGTTGAGAAAAAACACGGATGCCCCCCCCCCTTTTTAAACCTATGGCCGTATATAAAGTTTTCAGGTCAGTGCGCAACTATGGCTTGCATTATTTTTATAGCTGTTTATTTTTATTAGCTGGGGCCTGTATACGATTTCCGCATGTTGGAGCTCATCAGCTGCAGCAAGTCGAGGCAACAGCTGATGTCTTTGTTCTTGTTGGAAACTATGCTGCTGGGTCCCTTGTTGGTAGTGTTCATGGGATTGCATTCTCATTAATCTGACGGTGATGCTTAAATCACTTTTCAGACCGTGATTTGTGTAGAGGTTTCGGTTAGTGCCAAGAAACCACCGACTCCTAGATATATCAAACCGCTTGGTGAGCTCTCAATTGTTCAGCAAATATAATGAAAAAGGGGGTTATAGAGTCTTCGTCAAAGAGCAGTTTACCAGGTATTTCCTTCGAGATTGAACAGTGTAATGATATAGAGTTAATGCACATGAAGAACATGTACCTCTTGACAGCGTCCTCAGAAGGTCACAAGACCCGCAGTGGAAACAGTGGTCGATGTCCGCGTGCTCAACTGGTGACTGCTTGCTTAACTACGTGGAGTCAGTGCTGTTTCGATCAGTAACCCCAAAGTACCTATGATTGCGCTCTCATAGAGCGAATCGCCGAATACGTAATACCAAGCTCACTTTGTGCATCGAAGGAGATTTACGGAAATGGGACATCTAAAGGAAATCGCATTCATCTGTACTGTGACTGGGATAATTACACATTGATAATCAGTTACTCTGCCTCCCCCCCCAGGTACTCGTCTTGAATAAGTAGAGAACGATGCATTACCTCTCGGAGGCTATCTCGAATGGCGTATGTGTATTCGGTGGTGCATACCCACGAGCCACGGCGATGCACGTACAACGGCCTACTTAGCTAGCGAACTGCACACGCAAAGTGCAACTGCTGGACACAAAAGTGATTCATCCTCATTGAACATGTGCCAGTCACACCCTTTGTCAAATTTTTCCTTCACTCCTTACCTATTTTACATTTTTAACCCCGCAAGTGTCCTTTCATTGTTCTCGTTTAAGTATCACTACACTAAAGCATTTGCCACGTCTTTTGTTTGTCGATCAGGAGCTATTCGTTTGAAGGGTTCTATCTCTGGACAGAGTTTGTTCGTTGTCAAACTTCATTTTCTTGGGGACTGAATCTAAACAGTGATGCTTTTTTAGACGGAATTAAATTATTTAAAATGGTACCCTTTTCGTGTGTTTTCAGCTATTGGTTGTGGATGTTTGTCGACGCTTAGGATCCGGCGCATCGGACGCAGAGGCGATCAAAGCCCATCCCTTTTTCCGGTCAACCAACTGGGATAAAGTTTTGCGGCGTGAGGTTGAACCCCCCTTCCGTCCAACACTTACCTCAGATACGGATGTTTCCCTATTCGACCCCAAGTTCACGCAAGAAAACCCTGTAGAAAGTCCTGACGAAGGCTTGCCAATCTCGGCCGTCGTCAACGATGTTTTTGAAGGCTTCACATATGTTGACCCACAAGTACAGCTAGATATGATCCGTGAACCCTGGGTTTCGCACGGTTCCTACGCTCGTTCGCGCCGGCGTTCAGGCATTTCCTCAAGCGGGTAGGTTAATACGAATCTAGCTGCGTTTCCTCTGGTGTGATCACGGTAATTCGTCTAATTGTTTATCCCCTTAATCACTGTTGTTTTTACCTCGTTGCTGATCGATTCGATCTCTTCGTTTGTTGACGTTTGTTAACGGCAATCTACTGGGGCTAGCGAAATCAAGAGTGATTTTCCACAGGAGCAGATTTTCATTTTGTTCGGGTTTTCCGGCTAAAAACCTCCGTCGTCTAAAGTTGTTCCGGCCACTGCAACTTTTTTAACCGAGTTAAAGGAACTAAAGGCCACACGTTGGCAGCAATGACCCACTTAGATCATTGGAGTTCATTGGTTGTGTTTCTCCAGTATGGCAGGGTTTGAGAGCTACGCAGTGAAGGTGATAGCTTTAATGTGAGATCGTCATCCCTTACTAAGTGCGTACCGAGTGTGCGGCTTAATCATGGCTATTCACAACAGTTTGCACTTATAAAAGGTGTGACCAAGAAGGGCAATATCGTCGGCGCATTCATCGTCCGTAACCGTACGCCAAAAGGATCCCTGAGTTGTTAGAGGCAGGTAAAGAAGACTGGTACACTGATATGAAGCTGAAAAGTAAGTTCGACAGATCACGCTTGTCTGTTACTGCTGGGTGTGGTAAACTCAGGATGGTCTGTTGCAGACATGCGTCCATCGAAGGAGGCTTATACAGGCTTTACAAGGACGCCTTTCATCGCCGCCGACAGCGCGGTAGTTTCTGGCGACCGGCAAAATTCAGATCAGTGAAAGCAACCACTGTTGGTCGTCAGGAGGAGTAGCGCAGTCCCAACACTTATTGCAAACCGACAACATGATTCATGCAACTCCGGTCGAACCGAGCTTGACTTCGCGAATCTGACCCTTCCGATGATGGTCAACCGGTGTAGGATAATATCAGAGGTCACCTCGGAAATTGTGACCACTGGAGTGATGTCCTGGTGGTTTTCGCACGATGTTCATACACCCTTTCTGCGTATAGGAACGACCGTCAAATCGTTCCTTCCTTTCTGTATTCTTTCCTCATTTAAGATAACTCGTAGTAGGGTGGTGAGGTTATTCACAAGAGATTTGTCATGTTCGAAGAGTTTGGAGCTAAACCGTCTGGACAAAGTGTCTTGTTGCCATCACAACCCATGCTGGATTGTCCTTGTCTATGGGGTACTGGTATCGACGTTCCATCCAGGTACATACAGTCCTCGGACTGTGCGATGAAATTGGGACAAACGATTCCAGAAGCATAGTCAATAACTCGATAATCTGATCCACTTGGCTGCAGTTGGCTTAACTTTTTGACGTCTCCAGTGTGGCGGCGAGATGGCTCAGTGGTTAGAGCGCGAATTTACTGACCGGAGATTCCGTGGTTCGACTCCGACCTCTGCCTCTCGATTTCCCCTGTCTAGGCTTGGGCAACCTGGCAGTATCCGGCCCTCGTCCTTCCTTCTGGTGGCATGGTAGTTGGGCACCGGAAGGATGCTACAGCTGCATGATTTTTTTCTCGAACGTGCGTGAAGAGCAGATACACTCCGAGCAACACCATACTGATTTTAAAAATGTTTTGGCCGTATTGAAGAATGCGCTAGCGGTCACGATCAACCGTTGGGCGATCAGAATCCGAAGTTTCAGTAGTATACTTTGTCCTTCGTCGGGGAAAGGCATTGACGGTGCTTCGTTAAATATAGACATGTTTGGCGCTTGAATGCTTGGGCGATCAGAATCCGAGGTTTCAGTAGTATACTTTGTCCCTCGTCGGGGAAAGGCATTGATGATGCTTCTTTAAATATAGACATGTTTGGCGCTTGAATGCAACGTCTTAATCCCCATACGCCTGTAACAGGGGACAGTACTTCACCTCCCGGGGCACTTCCGTATGATTTCTCGCGATACGGGGACTCGCTGTTCTTCGTCGGGCTGCTCCGCGTTAACCTTGCGTGGCTAGTGAGTGTAATCCACTGAATCGTTTCAGCACTGAAGCCTGACCACCGCGACAACTTCAGCCGGTAGGGGGTTTGATTTTCAGCAACACTCAGCATATTCACAGCGATCACAATGAATGATTTGAGCGCGAGTTACTGACTATTCAAGAAGCTACAATTAGCTCCTATGTGACACTTTCTAAGTGCCACAGGGCGCTGGAATGCGTGACCTTGGTTTGTCAACCGCTTTTCCTGAATTTCTGATTCGGCCGTCGTTTTGTTTTTACTGGGGCTTTTCGGAACTGTATGCAGTAGGGTGTGGACCCTGGGATAACAGTCGCTTTGTGACCACAAGTCGAAACATCCATCCAGTAAGCAAAGATGGCGCGGCGGTTAGATATGTATGGAAGTGTTTAGCTTTCTAAAGTTTTTGTCCACTCTCTTGTTAAACGGCGATATCCGACCTCTTCGCGTTTAGCTTTAAACGCAAGCAAGTGTTCAACCTGTCCTACAAATGGGGTGAAAGGCTTCCCTCCTTTTGGTCTTCAGTTAATCGTACTCAGAGAAATGGTAGACAACGGTTCTCTACTTACTTGAGCTCGTCGTTTAGGTCAAAATAGCTGCGGACTGATTGGCTGATAATGGATAAAAAATAACCAGCCATGAAGCTAATCATCGTCAGTCAAACAACAAAGGAATTAAAATGGTTCCCATACTGCTTTGTAGCCTTCTTTGTTATAACGGCAGTAAGCCGCACTTACAGGGATTAGTGCTACCTCTGCCCACCATTTATGTTAGGACTCGATTCACTTAGTTAGCACTGGATAACAGCGTGTATAACTCTTTCTACTTACCACGGCTCAGAACAAGTTCACTTTCCCGAATCAAATCTTAGTAAAGAACGATCTTCGACCACTGAGGTGTCATATCTTCGCCATTTCGGACCTGAAAGCACCAATTCTTAGTTGCTGTCGAACTAAAAACAACATTTTTGTGCGATGGGTGTAATTCACTTGACCGTTAGTTTAATCTCATGTTGATGGCTTGGCCTAGTCCTGAGCCAGTTAGTATCTGTACAGGAGGTTTATTTAGCGATTTTTCAAAAGTAACCCACCCACTTTTGCAGCCACGTTTTCGGACGTCTGGTTCTGGTTTCATAAAATAGGATGTGTTTAGTCTTGAAAAGCAATGCACTAGCCGTTTCGTTTTGAGCGGAATTGCAGTGTCGATTGCATGTCCCCTGGGTGAAAACTTTCCACCATTTGGACTCGTGGGCTACCTGAGAAGTCCATCTGTTTCACCCACTTTTCAGGACTGACCATCCTGCTGCGTAATTAACGCCTTCAAGTCCAAATCTCGTGGGTCTTAAAATTATCAGGTTGTCCATGAGGATCATGAATTTTGGGAATATTTCTTGGCTACCCTCAAGTGGTCGGATTTCCTTATAAATTTAGCCTTGAGCCAAAATGGGAAACCAGTTTGATTTGCTTCTTTTACTTATGATTACTCAGTCCACAAACAGGGCTTGCATTTTGTGTGTACTTATTCGACGTGCGTACGTGACCGAACCTACTTGTTGGTCAAAGTGCGTTTGTCAAAGTTGTATCTTCTCCGTGCTAAGTCGTGCAAATTCCCAGTGGCTAAGTTGAGGTGATCTCGTAGTCAACCGATTTCACACACACTCCAACCATCCACTACTTCGAAGATCATACGTTTTTTGTCAGGTCATGGAGAGTGATGGCGCACTGTATGCGGCATTGTATAGCTGAATATTCGGTATAATGCTGCAACGTAATACACTCGAACCGGGCATAGGTGTGCGTGCTCTTGTGTATAACGAAGATGTCCAGCCACGTCACCCTTTCGGTGCCTAGCTTCTGCGCAACTCAAAGGGAGCTCGAGGGCGGAAATACTGCCAGGTTTCTCAAGTCTAGAGTTGAGCAATAAAAAGCTAGGGTTGGGCTCGAATCACAGACTTTCTAATCAGAGGTTTCGTGCCTCAACCACCCAGCTATCTCGTGCCAGCCTGAATCACTCTCCTTCAACGGAGTACTTATGCTCGCTTCGTAGTTGACGTATCCAACCATATAAGTGTCATATCGCCTGACAACCAGTGTTTTAGTTATTTTGGAATAATGTTGCAGTACCATATCATAGCCCTTTAGGCCATGAGCATATACAATCGAAGGCGGATTTAAATACAACAGATGAAAAGAGATAACGACCCTCAATGTTGGCGTACAACCCTGTGATAATCCGACGCTACGCTTCCAATCCAGCCCGAGACATTCCTGCTTATTTTTCCCTCTTGTACTTGACATTTTGCAGACTTCTTTTTAAGGGCGACGATGTCTTGATGTTAGTGTAAACACGGTTTTGTCAATCGTTCGACTCCAAAGAAATGTTCAGCTGTAACATACTTTCGGTTCTCAGCTTCCACGCCACCCGAAAGAAACGCGAGTGCTGGGATACTGTCAGGTTGCCCAAGCCTAGACAGGGGAGGTCAGGTTCGGACCACGTACCTTCTGGTTAGCAAATTCGCGCTCGACTTCGCGCGTTCGATTCCTTCAGGGATCATATGCATTTAAATG